CTCTCTCTCTCTCTCTCTCTCTCTCTCTCTCTCTCTCTCTCTCTCTCTCGCACGCGCGCACATGTTTTTAGAGACAGCACCTCATAACCCAGACTGGTCTAGCATCTCCTCTGTAGACCAGACTGGCCTCATAGCAGGTACACACCCACCCGTTCCAGTGACTTTATTTACTTTAACATTATTTGGTGCTCAAATAATGTACAATCCCTGAAAGATTATCATCAACAATATTATCCACACCTTTACTACCAAACTACGTACTAATGCCAGGAGAAAGAAAGAAATGTTTAAAAGGTGTCTCCATGAGCGGGTCACCAGGCCACAGAAATAGGAAGTGAATCCCATGAGGAACAGAATCTGAATGGCCTGGCAATAGGTACCCTAGACTCTACACATTGGCCTCATCTGTGACAGACAAAACAGTTTCTTGAAAGTATATAGGAACAAGCGCAGGAGTATGAGAAGAGACTCTAGTCTTAAGTTCTAGGAAGAGAAAGAAGTGAGTAATCTACAGAACCAGCCTTCAAGGGCTCCAAACACTCACCTAAACATGAGAAGCCCCACTATGACAAGCAGACAGACAGATGACAACACCACAGCCACCACAGCCAAGATGGTAGTGTGGTCATATGTATATAAGCGATTCTCCACCGGTAGGGTCAGCCCATGACACCTCTCTCCATGGTAACCTGGGTGGCAGCTAGAATAACAAGAAGATAGAGTTAACGGTGTATGCATCCTCTCTTCCTCTCTCTCTACCCCCACCCCCACCCCAAGAGTCCTGCTTCAGGCAGGGAAAAATCAAGGGAGAAGTTGAAGGTCTCAGTTTACATATAATCCACATGGGTCTAATCTATTACATCTGTACTAAGGTGTTTTGCTTAAGCCACTTAAGAGAATTTGAGCATCAGGGCTGATGGACTGAGTTGAGGGGGATTCAGCCTTGCTCCCTCTAGAGAGGCCCTTCTACATTCTGACCCAGAAATAAACCCAGCCTTGCCCATCACTGCACCCAGCATTCAGTTCCTCCCCACCGCTGCTCAGCCTATTAATAGGCCCTGTCCCTGTGCCAGGAATCATTTTTCTCATTTCCTTCATTTAACTCCTAGCTCCCAACTTGGGAGCTAAACTACAGCCTTTAGTCTCCGAATGCTGGGCTCTCAGGCCTCCTCATAGGACAAAGCAAACAAACCGAGATAATATCTTCCTGCCCAGCCACCCTGTCAGAGCATGAAAGAATGTCAGAAACAATCCCTTGGCTCTTCTCACTCAAGAAACAAATCACGTGACAGCCGCCTCTTCAAACACAAAGCATTTCCTTGAAGCTCTTAGGAAGACTGCTGAAGAAACACATTCACATCCCTTCCTCTGTGCACCCCTGAGATCCTTTGATGTAGGTGGGAGCCCATGCTACAGAAAGGTGGCATGGCTTCCCAAGGTCATGCATGCAACAGGGCAGCAGCATGGGCATGGACTCTAACTTTGTTCACTCACACTCCACAGCTGCTCACCCACCAGCTGGGGCAGGGGGTAGCTTGTCAGCTTGGGGATGTTAGGTCAGTAGCTGCTGAAGGAGGCACCAGGAGCCCAGTGGTCCTCTACTCTACACTGCATCTTCTCTGGAGGAGCTTGTGTACCTTGCGCCTCAAGAGCTTGGAAGTCCCCCTTCTGGATGTCAGGGCCCAGGGAGGCTGCAAGGGGCAGAGATTCCATGTGGCAGAGGGGTGGGGCTTGGTAGCACTGCATCCCTGTCCCTACCTTAGGACCACCTGCACCTACTCCTGGGTACGGAGCAGGAACAGCGTAAAGATAAGTCAGACCCTCAAAGGAGAATATCTTCCTTACCTAGCCTCTTCAGTATATCTAACTCTTGAGTCAGAGTTGGGAAAAATATGTCCCTACCCTTCCAGGACCTAAAGGAAGCTCCTGGGAGTGTCCCTGGAAAATCATGTGTGCATACAGATAAGGGGTCAAAGAGATTAAGTAATTGGTCAAGTCTCATAACTAGGAAGCAGCACAAGGCCAAGATTAGAAGCCACTATGATTCTGTCCACTCTGAGAGATATAGGTAACCTAAGAAAACACATCTGGTAGGTCCTGAGATGTCTGATCTGTTCTCTGATCATATTGTTGTTATTGTTATTATTCACAGCTTTATTAATAAATAGCAAGTAATAAATGCCTACCAAGCATTCTGCACTAACTGCTTTGCAAGAATTATTTTATTTGATCTTTGGTGCTGAGGCCTGAACTTGGGGGCTTTGATTTCATTGAACATTTAAGGTCAAACCACCCATGAAGTAGAAATTATTGTCTCCATTTTGAAGCTGAAGAAACCAAGGCATAACCTCTGCTAAATAACATACCACAAACTTAGTGAGTGGTAGAGCCTGGATTTAACCCAGAAGTCTGGATGAGTTCCGCAACGACATTATTCCAGGGGAAGGAAGCTGAAGCTCAGTCTGTTCTGCACTTCCAAACCATCATGCAAACCCCACAGGTAGTTACTCAGATGATAGAAATAAAACTTGGCCTCAGAGTCCTGCAATTCAGTTACATAATCCCTCTACCACCTCTGTCCTGAGTCAAAAGGATAATAATGTAAATGTGCTAATATTACCCACATCTCCCTCCCATCAAAGCCTGGCTTCCCCAGGGAAGGAGGGGGCTGAGTACATTCCACACATCCCTGGATGCAGGGCAAGATCATGTGGCTTGCCCTAAGCTGACACACACACGTCTATCAAACTAGGACACATTTCTCCTCTCAGTGTCTGTGACCCACTTCAGAACTTGCACGACAGCAGGAGTTCATTCCAGAGTCCAGAGATGCTGTCTACACAGTCTAATCCCATATCTACCCCAGAAGATGGAGGAAGCATCATTTGATAGGGGAGATGAGGACAGATGAGTTCCAGACTGGTTATGCTATTTCTAGCCAGGTGATCCTGGGCAAGTCACATTACTTTTCTAAACTTTGGTTTCCTCATGTCAAATCAGAGGCAATAAAAGCCTTCCTCACTGGAGCATCACCAAAAGTCCAGGCCTCATTTCTGTGAATTATTATACAATCAAACCAGAGGGTAAAGCCTGTATCTCTAAGAATAAGATGCTCAAACTAGATGGAGTCAAGAGAATGGGGGCTCTGCATGTCAGCAGTGTAACAGTGGAGCTCCAGGCCTGTCTCTCAGCCCTTCCCAACCCAACTACCCTCAGATTTCCTCTAGCCACAGGAAACTGATTTCTGGGTCAGCAGCCAGTCAGAAGCCCAAGAAAATTGCTCTTTGAGGGAAACTTTTGGCTGGTGACACAGAAGGATTTTCCTGTTCATGGTAGCTGTCAAAGGCTGGTTTAGGAAGCCAGCTAGCCTCAAGTTTACCACAGCAGCCAGGACACACCCTCACTGGCAGTTTCTGGGTCTAAAGTAGAGGAGAAGCCACAAAAAGGGACACAGACAGTGTACAGATGTCACATTGTCCCAAACTAAGATCTGTGTCAGAGAACCCACCCTATGAAGTGTGCCTAGGAAGCTGACAGAAAGTCTTCTGGTCACTTGCTATGCTCTTAGACTAGTAAAGTCCTAACGAGTGTTCTAGGACAACAGCTGCCCTCCACAAAATCTTGCTCGACTCTATAAGGACAGGGATAGATGAGGAAAGCCAACACCCAGTGGGGCCTGGGAGCATGAAAAGCATTCTGAGATAGGAGTGAGACCCTATCTTCTTCCCACGAATTTATTTAGCTGTTGATCTCATACAAATAACTTCCTACTCACTCTGTGGTTTCCTCATTTTTCTAGTAGAGAGAGAGAAAGTTCTGCCTTCCCTCCCAGCAGAGGGCTTTTGGAAATCCCAAAAGACCATCTCTTTTTATCCCTTCAGACAATGCAGCACCAAGTAAGTGTTCATCATGTCTGCTTGGTTGAACTCGATGTAAAGTAAACAATGAGGATCTTCAAGGAATAATACTAATGTGATTGTTATCATTATTCCCAGAGCCACTGGGAAGATGGCCTTAAGCACACTTCTTGGATTCTCTGCGCTTAGGAGGTTAGGGCAGCCCTGCTTCTCCGCTGATCAATGGAAGCCCTGCACATCCATTTGCCAAAACACTCTGAGCCACAAACATCCCGAGCCAGTGTGACTAAACAGACTCCTGGCTCTAGTCCATCTTGACTACCCTCAGAGTCACTTTCTCCTCCCAGAGTTAATGATGCCATTTTACACATTTAAGACAAACATTTCCTGTCCTGTCCCAGGACATTGGGAAGGAGCAGACAGAGATCCTGCCTCTTCAATACACCAAGCTCCTGCCCAAGGTGTTACAGGAAGGGACACATTGCCTGTGAAGGTGGGAAGCAATGGGTTCGTCTGCCAACTGCTAAATACAGCACAGATCTGCTGTGTATGGTTAGACAGGACAAGTATGCCTTTAAAAGCCAAAGGACCCATGCCAGTCACAGGTGGAAGAGATGTCACCTTTTTTTTTTTTTTTTTTTTTTTTAAGGGGGGGGGGTACACAACAGCCTCCTGGACTGTCCAGGGTCTTCTAGGAAGGGTCAGAGGACTCCAAGTGTCTGTCTCTCTCTTGACAGGGAAGAGATGGGACATTTGCAGCCTGATGTGGGGTGTTGGCCTTAAGCATAGTGGCAACATTATACCTGCCAGAGAGCATAGCACCACCACCATCCCTGAGGGGTTGCCAAGGTAGCCACTTGCTAGGTTTGGCCTATGAGAAGATAATTAACCCACAGCCCCTCCACCCACACTCCTGACAGGGAATAGTAATGTTGCAGGCTGAGTTAATCCTGCACAAAGAAAACTGTTCTCCAACCCCCAATTCCACACAAGGTCAATGTCTTCTATGTCTCCCACGTCCTTCTGTTCTTTGCCTGGGCGAAAAAGTAAAGAGTAGGGGTTTCAATTCATTCAACATGATGGTTCCTCTCTGTGTAGTCCTGCCATGCCTTAGAATCAATCCATATATGCTCACTCACGTGGCACACTTAAGTACACACACCTGCACAGCATGTGACTTCAGACATGCTACATCAGCTGCACTCCTTCTAGGAACTCACTCTGCCATGCTTCCTATCAGCTTTCCTTTCCAAAGAAGGGTTCACAGCCAGGATGAAGGCCCTCCTCACAAGTGTCAGCTCTCCTAGATACATGCTCATTTATGGGTATGCAGGAGGAAATGTCCTGGGGGATTAAGGAGCGTCACAAACCCATGCCTCAGGAAATTGCATCCTCTTTGGTGGCGGTGGCGGGGACTTCCTAAAAATATGTCCCTTCCTTTGAACTTCCTCCCAAAGGTTGAAAAGAAACTGCGTGAAATTATGAATTCAAGGAACAGTGACAAAGAGAGCATGTGGCTGACAGTGTGTTAATGAGATTCTTTCTGGAATGGGCCACTTACTTGCATGATGGAGCCCGGAGATCCTTCAGGTATTTACACTCCCCATGGATGCAGAAGTCTTTATATTTCCTAAGACATGGGTCTCTCTTCTTTCCCAATCCCTTGCCTTTCTTCTTTTTTTTCCCATTCTTTTCTTTGCTTGGCGTGGCTAGGGCTTGTGGCTTGGAGGAGAAAGCAACTGCAGGAAAAAAGGTACCTAGTTAAGCCTTTGACTCTGTCCTTTTGAAAAAGTATCTCCAGATCTAAGCCAGGCTGACCTCAAATTCCCCATTCCTCCCACCCCAGTGACTGAAATATGGGATTACAGGTGGGTACCCCTATAACCAATGAGGATGCACACACTCTTTGATCCCACTGGAGTCAGAGGTCTGGGAAAGCTCTTTAAGAACTACCAGAAAGAGGAAGCTCTAGGAGGAAATAGAAGTTGGGTTGGGTTCCAAGGAAGAAGAGCCTCATTCTAAGAAAGCCAGAGAAACTGCAGCTCACTGAGCAAAGCTACCAGCCTTACTCTCGAGTTTTGCCCACTTTCCACCCCCATCTGTGACTCCTGCACTTGATTCTATTTTAGCCTTCAGTCAGCCTCATTTCCTGATACCGTACTCAGTGACCCACTTGCAGGAAGATAGTATCACAGACAAAAATTGCTTTGGGAGAAGGAACTTGGCGGGTTTGGGGGTAGAAAGCTTCTAAAATAAGAATGTCTATAGCTTTAGAACTCTTCTCTGGAGTTCCCATTGATATCAGGGAAAGTTTGGTGCAGAACCTAGCTCTGAAACAGCAATGGGCCATCCCTGACTTAAAAGATCTTACTTTTTTGAGTTTGGGCAAAATATCTGCCCTACCCCATGCCCTTTAACAATGGATCCACTTTTTCAAATATCCATTTAGATTTATTCCCAAATATCCTGCTTATATCTGTGATAGAGAGGGGAGCTACAATACATACAAGGAACTATCTAGAAGGAACTGGACTATGACAACTCCCCTCCTCTTTCCATGTTGCAAATACTAGGTAGGGGGAGAACAACATCACACCCACCTGGGACTGGCCATTAATTAGCCCAGGAGTCTGATGCTAGCCTCTCCCATCCCTGAACCCAATAGTTAAAAGGTGCTCACTGTCTATAGCTTCAGCCTGTGTCTGGCAGAAAGGTGAACATAATAAGTTAGACTAGGGAAACAGAATCCTCAAGACAAATAAGACTTCAACAATGCCAGGGCACTTTCAAGATGAAAACCATAGGATCCCCCAAATGCAGGAACTTGCCCTAGGGCAGTGCAGGACTAAGATTAGAACTGTGGTCTCTGGTCCTGTTCCAGGCTTCTTCAGAGTTAAGAAAGTGATGCAGGTGGGTAGAGGAAGCCAGTTGTTGGGCCTCCAGGGAAAGCAAAGCAGGAGGACCCAAATCAATCAGAGAGAGAGAATAAAAAGATTGACAGGCTAGGCTCCTGCTGAGGAGAGGGAGCAGTGAGTCAGGTTAGCAGAGGTATGAGGAGCAGCCATGTGGGTGGGGGGTGAGTCACTGCCTAGCCCAGCCCTACCCAGCCTGAGCCAGGAGAATCCAGACTGTTCAGGACATGGGTGATCCCAATAGTCTACTGTTGAGAGGATAAAGTATGAGACCCCAGCTTCAGTTCTGAAGCAGATGCTTGACTTATGCAAAGCAGAGCAAGCACCTCAGGAAGCTTGGGGTGAAGAGGGAGCAGGCAGGCTGAGCAGTAGGTGGAGCTGAACAGGTGTGTCTCCTTCCTACCAAATATAGTCATTCCGGACATGGGCTTAGTGCTGGCTCCACCTCTGAGAAACACTGCAAGCAGCTAGAGGCAGGGAGGCCATCAGATTCTGGACTCTGCCCAGTTGCTGTGTTCAGCCACAGATACAGGTTACGGGATCACACATAGCTCTTTGCTCTTGTAGTCTCCTTAGAGATTCCAGTAGGCAGGAAGTCTACAAGTTTCAAACCAGCATTTCAAAACCACCTCCTTGAGTCCCGGCACTCACCATTCATTGCAGGGGTGCTAACCTCATCTACCAAAGCCAAGAGTTCCTCACTGCTCTCTCTTTCCCTAACCTGGAAGACAGGTGGAAGAAGGAGACTAACCCTGCACACTTCCAATGTTCCCATCTATTCTCTCTTTTCATATATAATCATCACATATATAAACATGCACTAGATAGGACTTGCAACCCTGCCCCCTTTCATTGATTCTCTAGAGAAAGCACTAGGCAGTGGTGGTGCACGTCTTTAATCCCAGCACTCGGGAGACTGAGACAGGCAGATCTCTGAGTTCAAGGACAGCCTGGTCTAACAAGCGAGTTCCAGGACAGCCAAGGCCACACAGAGAAACCCTGTTTTGAAACGCTCACCCCCACAACCCAGCTGCAAAGAAATTCTAGAGAACGCTTCTCAGCTATGTCTTCCTCCTATCATCTAGCTTACCTTGGAGGACAACCTGCCTCTTTCAGTTTGCTCCAAAGTATACAGAAGTAACCCACACCGGGTGAGACCAAAGATAAGAAAGATATTGCAGAGCCCAACTCCAATCAGGCCATGAGCTTTTCCTTGAAGTCTTTCATAAACATCCCTTAGGGGACAGAGTTGGGGCAACAGCATAAATTTCAGGCCTCCGTATTCTTAGCTGTGAACAGCATCTAAG